AATAGTTCGTAGTGAACGCCGCGCTGCCGTCTGTTTGTGAAGTAGGAAACAGGCTGCAGATTTTCCGTCATTCCATACCGTTTGCACCGAAACGCTTACTTATGACATGTTCTTTACCACAAGTTGGCCGTAGCTTAGCGCATTGCGTCCAACCTTCAATAACCTTATTCGCCACGTTGCTTGCTCGGAATGCTGCACCTCACTGAACCGATTCGATTGCACTCGAAGAAGCTGCTGCTGACTTTCTTCAAGATCGCAAAATCCTCCCATCCCATCAAACGTGTTCGATGACCATGCGATGAAATTAATCTATTGAGTTTATTCACTAAAGTTTATCAGAGAAGCATTAATGCTTAGTGAAATTTAGTGTTATTTTGAAGAGCAGAACGGAAAACAGTACGATCATAAGCTATTTAGATCAGACGAACGAGAAAACGGACACTTGCGAACATCTGCACGCAGATGTGGGGATGGTAGCTGTGTTGCAGTACGGGAGTAAAGAGAAGAACCGAAATTTAATTGGCGCAACTGTGTGCTGTTCATTACGTGATTGACGCCTCCCCAGGGATCGCAAACACCGCTCATACGATCGCTGACTGATGAGCCGACACTTGAATAAAATTTCAAATTATGCGACTCCGCTTACAGGATGCAGTAGTACGTTTGGTTCTGGATCAATGAGTGACGACTTGAAGCCTGGATCTCCGCCAGTGCTCCTACTTCGGCTAGCACGCAGAGATCTGATCAAACATTCGCTTCTTGAAGGTGGCAGAACTGGTGCTTGTTTATCTGGCCGTGAGGCAACCATCGATCATGCGGCTGTTATTACGTCGGATTTCGCATAACGAACTTGAACACAGAAAAACTAAACTGCCGAATAAAACTTTAAGGGATATAAGGCAGCGAAGACGGATCGAAACAGGTAAAACTATTAAGGTAATAATGACGTGTCTTCTAAGAAAGTTTCAAGAGGAACAAGACACTGGTTTGAAAGCAGATCTTATTTTATTGAAATAAATACACGTGTTCATGGATAATTAAATAATGCATAATGGGTGGTGTTCAGCGCATTGCATGAATATGGCATAGACCCCGTTTACATTAACCAGAACGTGGAGGAACTGATAACCGGTTGAACGACTGAGGTGAAACTTCTCAGCGAACAGTGTCGCATCAATGCCCATTGACGAATACGCCAAGGAAATGACATTTCACCAGCGCTCTTCGCCGCGGCTTTGGAGACACTCTTCAACCGGATAAGCTGGTGAAGCGGCATCAGTACTGATGCACAGCAACTAACGCACATCTTATCTGCGCACGACTGCATCCTCTTCGCACAGTACACGATGGAGCACAACAGAAGATGCAGCAGTTGCAACAAGCATCTCTCAGCATCGGTCAGAGGTTAAACTTACAAAGAGGAAATGGTTGCGAAGCGAGCACTGTCCCCAGGGCTCTGTCTAAGCGAATGGCAGTAAAATCGAAGAAATCACCTTCTGCGTACACCGGTCTTCAAGTAGACCGGACGAACTTGCTAGATGGAGAAATCAGCCAACGAAGGAAAACGACATGAGCCAGCACAAATCATATTAAAACACCGTAACTCTACAGTAAGCTGACCATTCTGCTAAATACAGCCGTTCTACCCAGCGTGATTTACTGCGCAGAACGTTGATCTGCTACTAAAACGAAGAAGAACAAAGTGAGAAGCGAGGCAGCAAAACATGTGCAAGGTGTTCCTGCGGGAGCACGATCGCACAAATTCTACAACCGACTGGATTAAACAGACCTAATCTCTGCCTCCTATGACACCAAGAGAATATGGGCCGGTCACGTGAGAGACCGGAGAGACAACCTGGTGGAGGTCAAGAATTACAAACTGGGTTCCGCTGGACGGGCTAACGGAACTAAGGTCGAGTCGGTCGTTCGAGTACACGTTAAGATGAACCGATAATTAAATTACTTGGTCAGCGATGAACGCGGAAAGCTGAAATAGAGAGTATTACTGAGGAGCGTGACTAACGTTCACGACACTCATCACGAAGACAAGACGGATAACGGATAATGGATTGATAAGCTCGCTACCGTTGTCTCTAATCCGATGCAAGATCCGCTACAATCTTGTAGCTTATGATAATAAGCCGGCTGTAGGATACACAAAGCTTGATGTAGCTGCCTCGTTCCGACGACAAAAATTATTGGAACCGGGTTCGTGACTTGCATCTAACAGACTGGTTGAGTGATTCCAAATCTGGACAGAATGAATAGGAGCCACCATATCTATTACTGGAGAAAGCATAATAACATTTGTCAATCACGCCGGCTATTCATTTAATAGAATACGACACTCGTGAGCCGTACTGTTCCTATTCACTTGATGAAAGCAAAGCGCGGTAACTGAAACTGCAGCTACTGAAACTTATCAACACCGTCAACACTGATAATATTTAATCTTCACTCGAACAATGTTTTCCAAGGCACCACAGTTTGCAATCGTCTGACCTGCGGTCTGTAGATCAACCTGAGCCATAGCATGCGTTCTGCTGATTATTATTAACAGAAGCAGTCAAAATCCTGTAGCATTTGCAGCTTTTTAGCAACTGTGACCAAACAGGATGGCGTCGGTCCGTATATATCCCTGTCAATGCATCATCTCGAGGTCGAGGTCGAGGCCACTGTTGTTGCAAACGGCTGAAGAGTCATTCTCGATCTGTCATCTTCAGAACAACCATCTCTAAGCCATAAGCGACCCCGGTCTACCTGAGGCAAAGCAGACGCTAAATTAGATGAAAAGAGCTATTGCTTTGTCTGCGAAACCTAAGATATCAGATTCCTTTAAAAGACGAGTTAGTCGTAACAGTTCGGTTCAACGCCCTGAAGGATTATCATGGCTAGCGCCGCGAGAAGAAGCGTGAAGCGACCTGAGAGATCGAAATGGAGATACGCACTCAGATGTTGCTCTGAAGCAAACACATTTAAAAATTTTACATGGCAGCCGACCATGTTCTGCCTTCACAAAATAAAAGCCTCTAATTACATATGCTGTTTCCCAGGCATTTGACACGTTGCAATCGATTAAGCTCAGGCTCAGTCACACACGTGGTCATGTTGAACGTACGCAGAAATGCTAATATAATGGTTAATAAAATAAACTAACGAGCGATCGAAGAAGTTTTTTAATCTAAAAATACTCATGGTACTTTGGAAAGGCACGTACGGCGGCAATCCCATATAAAGCCCACGAACTCATCAGGAGGTTTTGGTCGCTTTGCGACAAACTATGACAGCTAGGAAGATTTTGAATGCACTTTAAAACGGTAAAATCGGAAGTTCAATGAAATTTCAAAGAACTCGAACTCGTTTCGAACTGCCTTTGGCAGCATAAAAAGGATTTTCGGTGGCGTACACCGAAAGCTGAAAATGCTGTAAGGTTCCAAACTTTGAATCTTCCTACCAATTTACATTTAAGCAGTAAAAAATCTACCAGATAATCGATTTGCAGGTAAGAGAGAGAGTGAAGTGTCATTTCAGAGTTGGAATTCACAACGCAAAAAGTTGACAGAGTAATGGCGCCTCTGCTAATAGATGAGACTTGCGTCAGAGATGGCGTCTGTTGTACTATGAGTCGAGAGGCGTGAATGAAATTTCACCACAGATTACACACAAGTTAATCGCCTGCTGAAGTTAACGGGCCAGGTTCACAAATTGATGGCACGGTATCAACCACTATACCAGGCATTTTACGTGAAATCCGCGTTCATACAGTGGTTGTACTGGTCACATCTGAATTCGTAATTTGTACTTTTCGAAGAAACCACGTAAAATGAATGAAAACGAAACTAACGAAGTTACAGAAAAGTTAGCAACATAGAGCGCTATAATTTGTGGGCATAACTTTATGTTTGTGCCTCATTTTCACCAAACCTTCATTCAAACTGTTCAGAAAGTTTCACGGCCGTTGATGACTAGAATAGTGAAACAAAAAATCAGCGACGAACGCGGTATCCACTCTAGAAGAACGGCGACGGCATGTCTTCATCGCTCTCGTTCCGTTGCTTTCATGGCTGCTCTACCAACGAACTGCGGTCTCGAGCGATAACCGCATTTCACAGCTCTGTAATTGGCAAGCTCGTAGGACTGGTCCAGTCACTTGAACCACTGCACTGCGATCGGCTTCTGGATTTCAAGACCCGGTGACATGTCGATGTCGTAACGAATGATAAATGCTATAAAGATGGAGAGACGTCTCACTGGTTGAATGACGCCAACACTGGGCGGTAGGCAAGTGCTCTCCGAGGCCTTCGAAGTCCAGTAGTCATCCATTACTTCTGGTGTGGAAGACCCGATAATTGCTTACGGCTTTCGCCTGCAGAATTAGGTAACCGGTCCGTAGTATAGTGCAGGTATAGCTGCGATCGGCACATACTTCTGTTGATGCAGAGTCAAGAAGAGCAACGCGATCTTGGGAGGGAGGGAGGGAGGGAGGGAGAGAGAGAGAAACTGACTTGTCACTACGGATGAATAACGAACGTGATACAAAGGAAATTGTGGAGGAAAGGCTGAACGATGACTTCAGGAAACAGAAGCAAATTCGCATAACCGTTAGCAACGAAACGTTGATGAAGTAAAAGCTACGAGAACGACGTGGCGCGAAGCGGTGGTGCATCAGATTGCTACGCCATATGCAGAGGATGGCATTTATTTGAGTGAACATTTGGCGTTACTACAGGCGACACAGCCTGACGCAGTGTAGGTGTAGTTCATCACCGAGGGAAAACCGAGGTATCGATGCCGCGAGACACAGAACTCATCTCCACCGAGCAACGCCCTCGTCAGCAAACGGGTTCTAGCCGAATTGTGGTTCGTGCCGTCAACGTCTGCTCATCTACTTGAGCATCGGTACAGACTTATCTCGAATGGGTGCCTTAGTCGTCTGTTCAGAGATCTCTAGGCTCAGCGCATTCGAATCGTTCTTGAGGGAAAAGTTAGAACGCGGTGTCGTCTACGGAGTCGCCGTTCGCAACAGAAGCGATTTCAAAAGGAATATAATATTCGTTGAAAGTGCATTCAAGGGTCCAGCGACGGATGTAGAAAAATGACACTCAATGTCGTGTGAAATCGACAAGGACATCGACTTACCTGTAGAGCCGCTCGAGCGTCTACGAGCCGGAGGAGCGTCATTTTTTACGTAGACGATGTTACGCTTTTTCTTTGCCATTACTGGCGACGGATGGCGGAGGCCGGCCGGCGTGCTGAGGAACCAGAAGCCAATGGGCAAAGACCGATGCTGAGGCTACCGAACCGAACGACGATCAGCGGGCTCTCACCGTACGTGCGCAGCCGAACAGCGCAGTTCGCTTTCGCCGTGCCTTCCACTCTGCCTTCCACCGTCTGCGGCTGGTGCTGCGCGGTGAGCGAGTTTCTGTTCCTCTCTCGGCCTGGCGGTCAGTCGTCCGTTACACGCAGCGCCACAATCACTTTCACTTCACCACCATGTGCCACTTGATCATCTCTTCCGCACTGCGAACTGCGATCGCAGGCAGATTCAAGACTTGAAGCGTAACGACCGAGGATAGACGATGCTGCACCACTGGCGTCTGCCGACGTCTGTCACTGACAATAAGAAGGATCGCTTCGGAACAAGCATC